GGGCTGAACTGTAATTCTCTTAAATTCAGACTCAAATTCTGCTGTCCTCTATTTCAGACCAACTATATTTTATTATTTAAACACAACAACATTTAATGGTTAGTCACTGATCACAATTAGGTTTCAGTGACTTACATATTTAGATAAGACAGAGATGAATATATACCTTTCACTGCTGACAAATGCCTGGTGTACTTCTGAAGAGGTGAGAGGGAATGCAAATCCCAAACAAACAGGCAGTTGTCACCGCCCCCAGAGGCCAGATATTTATTATCAGGAGACCATTTCAAGCCACAAACCTATAAAGAGCAGCAAATCACATGGTTCATTCAAAGTCATTACCAATCATAAAATTTGTATGACTGATTACAAAATATATTTTTGAGCCTTCATCAGTAACAGGCATTGCTCAGTAATACAAAATTAAATATAACCAGGGCTCAACAAACATATCTGTCTGCTCAGCCATAAATTAAAGAGGCTGATGAATGGAAAAATCTTTTAATTTATCCATAGATATTCTCTCCTGCTTTCATTTCTCATTATCTCCACAGATGATGTTACATTACATAAGGGGCAATATTTTATACATCTTCTGTATACTATGTAATGGGAAATAGGGTAGTTTGGAGCAATTAAAACAGCACAGGTAGGCACAATTTTTCTTGTGGAGATGTGTCTGAGGAACAGAATTTCTGTCACCCTGGTGAACTGCACAAACCTGTTCTTTCCCCCTNCCCCAGACTATTAATATTCGACAAATCATGTCCTACTAACCTCTTCCTGATGACCTACTAATCTTCTTTCAGCAACAAGACTAGGCATTCTCATATCATGTTGTAAAATAAAGGTATCCTGACTCCCTGATGACAGAATATTTCCATTCCAAGCAAGGGTACCCACTCTTCCTGCATGGCCTTGCATCATTTTAAGTTGTCTATTTACAACAGTATCCCAGACCTGCACACCACCATATGTTGATCCAACAGCTAGAAGATTTCCCTATGAATGAAACACCAAATTAAAAATAACATCCAACAGCAACAATCCTAGTCCGTCTTACATTATATCAGGAGTGGGAATGTAAGCAAGCTATTCAGC